GGGTGAGATAGCCTCTGCTTCGACGACAAAAAGTGGAAGCGTTTGGCACAAGCCAAACAATAAATAAATTTTCAGAGTCCCTTGCATTTCTTTTGAAGGGGCAAGTGGAAGGGATTCATAAGTTGATGTCACCGGAAGCTGCAGGGGGATTGCTTTGGAGCTCTGACCGTAGAGTCCCTGCTACACCGCTCTGCGACCCCGATGAATCCTTGCTGAGCTCACGTTCGTCATGTGACGAACATCGTCAGGGTTCTACAAAAATTCACCAGGCACAACGGCCAACTAAAAAATCCCTTCTACTCGCCTTTTCAAACGAAATGATAGCTACTCCAGCAGGAATTTATTAAGGGATTCTTAGAAAACCAGTTTTTCTACATATCTGAGAATGAAGAAATTACTTATTCGAAGGTATGAAGACCAAGATGGGGCAGTCTTTAGTATTGTCGCGGTCTCCTTCCGCTGTATAGAAGTTGTTTGATCTTGTTTTCGCAACTTGGTTGTATCATCAGTAATACCTAGAGAAACACACCTTGTTCGTAGTCCATTGTATGCATGCTAATTTCCAGTCGGACCGTGAACTCGGTACATTCGTAGACGTTACGCTGGCATCGTAGTCGGCACCGTCAGCTAGCCTTGCCATTCTTAGCCAGTTTTTACCCGAAACGAGGAAGAATGTCTGGTAGACTGCGTCAACCCGAACTTCGTATTAAAGCCGAATGGCTGCAGTACAATGAGAATCCGCTGTCGCCTTCGGTTGAGATCAGACTTTGAATTTCTTCTTCATACACTTTCATACGAAATGAAAGTCTCCATAAAAATACAACATCAGTGCATATTATATTTTGGGTCATAAAGCGCTCCGTGCAGACGGAGGCCCAGTTCCCGACCCATTGCCTGCTGTCCTGCGAGGCCACATTTCATTGGAAGGTGCACGCGTCGAATCTCCCAAATCCGGGTTTGAGCCGTTCTCCGGAGCCGGTCTGGCTTCCAACTATTTTGGCCTGCCCTCCTGTTCATCACCGGCACCTGTCTCCCCAAATGTACTCGACGCCCACCCAGCAGTTCCCCAACTAAGACCAATTCCCCCGGCCCAGCTGCAGCCCACCTTCCCTCTCCACGCTCCTGCGACTCTTGGTGCGCTTAACCTACAACGCCTGGCTCCCATCACTGGCCTGGTGGAATCGCAGGATCCAGGCGTCAGTGACCTGTATGCACCCTTGGATCTGGCCCTGACCAGCACGTCATGTCCACAACGTCTGCCGCAAGACTCTCAGAATAGCTGGCAAAACTTCTCCCCCTCGCATTTTCCTAGGCACCCGAATAAGACAAACAGGACAGTGGCCACATCATCTGGTCAAACTGGGGATCACCTGTCTGGAGAAAATTCGTGTTGTCAACACAATCATCTGGCGAACGGTCTTAAGACGGGTGAACATCCGAGATTGACTGATTGCTCTATTAGGGAGAAGCTACCCGAAGAAATGGGAAGTCTGGATGTAACCTCTGCCATCGGGAATGAGCAAGAGCCAAACACTTCACATCTGATGGCAGCCTCGTCAGGTTTAGCAGACAAATTGCTGCCCGAGGCGCTAACTAGTAGAATGATTTCTTTGCTGATGAACGCGGACCCCAGCACGGAGCCCAAAAGTCAGGTAAATTCTACCATAAAATTGGTTATTCAAAGCTTTTATTGAAAAAAGAAACACATTTTTACATTACAACTTCCCGTTTAATTGCATATTCACACTCTTCTCTCCCTATACTAAACCTCTGTATTCTTCCTCTACCTAGTTTGCGCAAACAATAATTTATAATAAAATGCATTCCACCTTAGGCTTGATGATCGGGGTGTTGTTTCCGTTGGTTTGGTCGCACGACTGAGTTGCGAGAACTGGGTCAAACCAACAAATAATATTTTAAATATTTAATTAGAAGGAGAAGCATGAAATATACTCTTGAGCAAAGATGGGATGTTATAAGTTTTGTAACATTAAATAAATGTGATCAAATTTCATTGATGAGAGTCACACTTAAATTATAATGTAGCTGGTATGAGGGGTCCTGGGTCTGGTTACGGCAATCTGAAAATGCTGTTATAAAGGAAATATAGACTATATTGAATTCCTTTATTTACGATTGTATGGTCACCTAAACTTACCTCTGCGGATATTACGATTCGTGAAAATTAGGCCAACTAGTTTATTGGTACTGGGATATGCTTATAAATTTATAGCTGGGGAATATGCAAGTTTATGTTCACATGATTTAAATCAAGTATAACTAGTTGTATTGTCTTTGATTAACTGGGAAAACTATGTTTTTCATTCTCTGATATTCCAATCTACGGATTTTTATTGTTATCTTTACCCACGTATTTATTAAGCTCTCAGTTATTACATTTTAAACTTTATGAGAATAATATTGTTGACTGCGTTTGGTTCCAGATTTTTTTACATCGAAGCTGAATTGTATACATGGATGCCACATGTGTACTGACTTTGGTACCCACGGTTATATATATCCGTTTATGTTTTCATGACTTTGGGGATAATCTTTATATAATTGTCGATTCTGATCTTATTACTGATGCTTAATCAGATCCAAGCATATTTCGTCACTGGCATAATTGATATTAATGATTAAAGATAATGACTTGATAATACTATTTTCCCAAAGTCATTTGTGCAATTCCATTTTTTATCTTCTGAGGTTGCTCAAGTTTGGCTGTTTATGGAGCATCCTTTAGATGTTTTCAACAAATCATAAACTGTTTTTGTTACTCTCACTTGTTTCACGATGTTATTTTTCAGGATATTTTGGAGAACTGGCGTCAGTTTCACCAGGCCGCTTTGGCAAATAACATTGATCCAAACGTCCTATTGCTTCGTGACTCCGAGTAAGCACATTTCTCAGTTTATATCTCAGCGTTCAGATGAAACTTTGTCCTTTTTTGAACGAACATGTTTATCTTGACTCTGGCGCCATCCGATTCACTAGGCATGTGCCTTCGAAGTCAATCAATGACTGGTAAAATGAGGGATTATTTTCCGAGTCGTTTAGCCCAATACAGCAAAATACTAATAGCAAGTAATCTTTTGTGGATCGTCTATATATTATCAAAGCGTTTTATACTATTGTTGGGGGACTTTCATTTCGTATGAAAGGGCATCAAGAAGAGATTCACCAAAAAAGGACGGATGGATCTAGTTGTGCTGAAACCATTTGACGCAGTCCACGAGACCTCCCTCGTTTCGGGTGAAAACGTGCTCAGCTTTCGTCCAAAATATGATGGACATTATCAGAGTTGGGTATCATTCCTGTAAAAGTATAACGCAAGAAGACTATCCGGCTCTATCTTACCTCTTATATAGACTCAATTAAGCAAAAGGAAATTAAAAACCTAGATAGATAGATAGATATAGAGTGGTTTGGCTAATTATCCTTCATACTGGTCCTTCTACCTTTGTTCGAGTGTGTGTGTGTGTGTGTATGTTTGTTGCGTCTATACGCAACACCGGTCCTAATTTAGAATGATCAAAAGGCTAATGTCAAGTTCTAGTTATCGAGGCTTAATCAGGCGAGAGAAAACTCTGACCGAGACTGCGTAATTCCGTAAGCAAGTATGATTGATTTAATGAGATATGACCTTGTAAGCATGTAAGTCAAATTACGAAACCAATTGTCCTAACCTCTGGGTCTGGGATTATTAATGTTTAGCCCTCCAAGGAAAGGCATGATTGGGGTTGCGTAATCTGGTCGTCTGGTTTTGTTGATTAGCTTACTCTAACATGTTGGACAAGTGTGAGTGAAGTTAAAAGCATCAGTTGTGTTGCCTTCTTTTGGATGGCGGCTCAACACTCTCTTTCTCCTTCAGTCTATCAATCAAGCCTAAGTAGTTCATACTCAACTTTCTACCACCGTTCCTCACATTCAACGTATTTCCTCAGGTATTAATTTCAATGCCCCTCTTATCTTTCTTTTAACCACATAGGTACCATAATCAGCATACCTATTAGTTTGAGACCATTCTATTTCATGTCCAGTTTCTACCATGTGTGAGCATTTTTGTGTTCCCCCAATCTTTGTCGAATAGGTCGGCTTGTCCCACCAACATAAGATCGACCACATGAGCAAACAATCTTGTAGCAGCCGGATCTCGATAATGAGTCATATTTCTCTCTAAAACATGGCATAACAGAAGAAAGTGTGAGGAATTCTTTAAATACTGTTTTTATCCTCCACTTTCTTACTAATTCGCCTATCTTTTCTGAAAGAGCATGACGAAAAAATTAGGCCACGGGAAAAGGTATCATCTTGTTTATCTTTGACTAAATGGTCTCCATCTGAAGAATTGTTCCTCAGTAAAGAGATGTTATTCTCAATAAGT